ATGCACAATTTCTCGTCGTCGATTGGATTGTATCATTCTGTTTGGTTCATTTGCTTATTCCTCCATGATTGTGCTCTGCGCACAATCTGCGCTACTCTTTTAATACTCGTTACTACATTTCTAAAACTTTACTCGTGATTCTCGGAATTTTCAATTTTTCCATAAAACGATCTCTTCTCCAAGTCTAGTTTAGAGAGAGAGAGAGAGAGAGAGACACGATTGTTCAACTGTACTTTTTTTTTTCTTTTTTTTTCCAAGTTTGATCTTTCGGCTTTGATCGTATCGTTTGTACGTACAGCGTAAAAATCCAGCGAAAATTAAATGAAACAGATTTTCTTCAATTAAAGGAAAATGCTCAGAAATGGCTCTATATTCCGAAACTTGCCCGTAAACTCGTTTGGTTTCTAAACAAAAGAAAGAGAATAGATGAAAGATTGAAGAGCGACGGGGCGATTTTTCGTCGGACATGTCTTGTTATCTTTAGGTCATGTTTACAACCGAATATATTACGACCGAATATATTTCTTTTAATTAGTTATTTCTTAGTTAGCGACGCGAATACGTTCCCTTCAGATGTTTCTTCTTCAGGATGGAAAGAAATAACGGCGGTGCGCTCGTTTGCAACTTGCGACTAAATAGCTGTTATCAAAACGGACGAGCAAAAAGTCGAGACTGTTTGCTCGGATGGTGCTCATGTTGAAAGAAACGTGAGAAACCACGAAGCTTTTTTCCATCCACGTGGAACGATTGCAAAGTTTCTCACGCGGGAAATCAATTGTGTTTGCGAACGAACAGATCGACTAGAGAGGTGTTGGGAAATTCGACGTCCTTGCTCGAAAGATGAATTCGTAAATTTAAACAGAGTGATCAGAGCTAATCGTTGGATTTCAATTTTCATTTGCGAAACGACTCGATGGATTCGTTCAGTGTCGCGTGGTCACTTGAAGATACTTGTACGATAAACGAGAACGTGCAAGAATGAAACTTTGGTTGAAAATCGAATCAATTTCGAACCAGCACGCACGAACGTTTGCTGGGATGTAAATAGCGATTGCTGCGGAACGTAAAAACGTTTCATTAAGCGTACGTCAAATATTCCATTCGCCGATCTAGTAGCTTTACAAGTCTCGAGTTGACAAATTTTACAATCGACGTCTAGTGGAGAATTGCCAGTAAAATGTTTCAATACGCAAATATCAGCGTGTTTTGTCACGGTCGAAACGGCAGAAAATAATCGAAAATACCTGTGGCTGTCGAGATGCTTTCGAACTCGTACTTTTATCCGCTGAAATTTGCACACTGAGCTTTCCTCGTTGAAGCTATTTTTAAATGCACGTAGCAGAAAACAAAGATTTCAGGTATCTTTTTATACTGAAAGCAGCGTAAAAGCAGCGAAAACAAAACACTCGGAAGCTCGGCAATTTCTTTGACACTGTATAATTTAGCTTGCAACGGTCGATCTGTTCTAAAGTCGAACGCGCGTTGAAATAAATATACCGTAAACGATGTCGATTATTTGAAAAACAACAACGGGGCCCGATCATCTTCGAACAACGTTTTCCAGCAGTCGTTCAGGAATCTTGAAATATTATTGAATGGAGAGATCTTTTGCGCGCAGAGAAGAACAAATACGACGCGTTGAACCTTTTTTTTTTCTTTTTTTTTTTTCTTTTTTTTATTGAAATTGCTTGCCACGAAGCAATGCGTAGACGAGAAACACGAGACAAAGCAAGTTGAACAGGCTCCGAATAACTCGAAAATTTATCGATAGAAGAGGGGTCAGCGTAGGGTAGAGTTAATCGAGTATCTTTTAATATCGTAGGAAATGTGAGGCATTTAATATCGAGGCATCGCACGAGCCACGGCTCGTTTATTCCGCATCAAATTATCCTCCAGCGCGCTGCGCCACTAAAATGAAACATGAAATTTGACATGTAATTGCGCCGAGTACGAAGCATCGACGCTGCAACGTTTTCGCGTCTTCCGGTAGGCCAATATCCTTCCTATTTTCCAATAGATGGGCGAGCGTCAACGGCCACGCGTTAATACTCGTAAACATCTTTGCCGGATGATGTACAGTGGTTTTAGCGAGATACGCGAGAATATAACTGTTAATTAATTAACCCATGGTTCGTCCACAGGATGGTTCGTTCCACAGCTAGAGGCTATCGCATTCGCGCATCGAATGCTTCATTAATAACGAAAATAATCAATGATCTTACTAACTTGTCGTTTCATTTTTGACGTAGTTCGAGTATCTCATTGGCGCACTTCACGAATTTCATTTCGCGAAAGCAAAAGTGAGGCGAAAACGTTTAGCAATTAATCGAAACGATGATTGAATTGATCGACTCGTCCACTTTCCCGTGGTCTTGTAGGATCATCTTCTTGCGTTCACCAGACGAAATAAATCTGTCTGGGTTCTTATTGTTACTGGTTCGACTTTGGTTTTCGCCGTCAACCGCCGTCTCTCATCGTCTCTGTCTTTCGGCGGATGCGAAGGCGTGTCGTGCCTGTAAATTACAACGAGCGATATATGCAAATGGGGAAAGTTTCTCACGTGCGTCGTGTCTGTTTCAGGCGGTGCTTTTCCACCCGAATTTGCTGATACTATCCAGAATGTAACGGTGTCGCTAGGAAGGGACGCAACGTTCACGTGTCTGGTCAATCATTTGGGAGGCTACAGGGTAAGTTTTCTCATTTGTGAAGTTGCGCACTCAGAGCGTGCTCGATCCGCGCTAAATGGCCAAATTTTTTTAGTCGCACCTTCTCTCTATCTAGACCGAGGTCCCAAACACCGAAGAGATTCGTTTCAAACAATTTTCCTTTGAAACCAATTTTTTTCTCTGCTACACGGAATCGGAGCTACAAAGTTTGATTCCCCTCCCCCCCCCCCTCCCCCCATAAGCAAGAAGTAGCGGAAACTTCTGATGGGAATTGGCGCGTTGAAGAATAAACTCGACTCGTTGGGTTATAAATCTGCGACTGATGCGCAAATGTCAGCTCGGCTAGACTGTGAATGCCTACTCGAGAGAGAGAGAGCTTTCTTCTCGTCGAGAAAGAATCGCCGGTTGAGAATCGCGAGAATCTCTCCGGACTGAACGTAGACGGAAAAATCGATCTCGCTGAATTTTAGATCTCTTTTGTTCAAGTAAAGCGTCTTTCTCGAGAAAACCAATTTCTCAAACAGCCTGCTGTATATCGCTAAATTCACAAGCACTCTTCTTGATTCGATATCTTTCCTGCTGCCACATCCTTATGTTTGAACACAAAAATGGAGCCATTCCCCCTGTCGTATTGGATTTCATATCCGCAGCCATGAAGACAATGTCATTACGCATCGTCGGTGCCCCCCCCCCTTCCCCCCGTGGAAGAAGAGCGTCGCAGAAACGCAGCGGCGAATAACAATTTGAAAAATTCCAAATTTCCGCTTTAACCGGCTCTGACGGAGGAACGTAAATGTAAATTTGATTGAATCTTTTTGTGTCCACGTTTTGTGCTCGCGGCTGGATGTTATCCCATCATTTTTCTTCGACGCACGTCGTAAATCGTACGACGTAAATCTTACGATCGCTCTTCTCTCCAAATTCAACCGCTCAAGTCCTCCTCTTGTAATTGCGAGTGTATGTAGGCTCGTGAATTTTAGGCGAATAGAGCAACGAAGGAAGATGGGCTTCGAAGGTCGATTGACGATTGACGGAGAGAATATCATCGAAATCATCGGGTTTAAGCGTCACCGTTTGCTAGGAAGACGCTAGAACGACGAATAAATTGCGAATAAATAATTGACACGTGTGGAAGATTGCAGCCCTAAATGAGGCTGTTAGCGCGTGTCGAACCGTTTTGAAGAAATCAGGGACGGCGCGACTAACAAAGGAGGCGACGCGACGTTGAAAATTCACAAAAAGAAAAAAAAAAAAAAAAAGAAAGAAAAGAAAAAGGATGGGGGAAGGGAGGGTAAGGTTTCTCAGAAGACGGAGGCGGGAAAAGTTGTGTAGCAACAAGCCAGCTTCCTCTCGTTAAGAACGCTTTGGCACTGCTATAAAGAGACAAATAATCTGATTACGAGAGCCTAACGATATTACGCGAGAGTAAAGTGGTAACGAGCAACTGCTGCTAATTTTTCATTTAAAGCTTAATGCCGAGCGTCACGACGGTCAGCCCGTGACGATGCGGATGAAGCGTGCATTCGCAATTTCAGCTGGATTATTTCTGGCAATTGAACAGACCGAGTAGACGAGCGAAAACTCTGTCCGTCTCTCCGAGTCTCGTCTTGAGAGAGCAGCTGGCGTTGCATCGATCCGTACGTACGTACGTACGTATTTTCGACAAATTTCGCGACAGAATTCGCGAGTTCGAGTCGCAGATTTTTGCAAATGACGATGCCGCGTTGAAAGTGACGAACGAAGAAGAAAGTTGTCGAAAGGTTGTGGAAATGTAGATTAGAGTATGGAGGGGGAGAGTAGGTATACGTGAGGTATACGAGATTAATTGGAGGGTGAGGACGTCGCAATAGCCGCAAACGTCAGCGTCAGTGGTGTTCGACGTTTCCCGACATTGAACGGATTGGCTGGTTGGCTGGTAGAGACTGGTAGTCGTCTGCTGAATTTCCGGATCGTATACACGCAGCGCTATGGCAGGAATAAATTTCAATTACACCTTTCTGGAAGCGAGAGAGAGCCACTCTTGGAAAACAATCTCGAACACCATTACGACATCCCTCGAGCACACCCGGTAACCCCTTTTCTATTAATACAAGCGTTTCTCGAGACGCCCGTATAGCACGCCTCTGCGACTTGCCGAGATTTCGAATATTCCAAGGAAAATGCAAATATCGCTACGAAGTTTGGCCAAGGAGATAGAAGACGCGTACGCGCCGCCTATAGGTATCTCTATAGTGTAAGTCTACTCGCGCAACTGCGCGTGTATGTGTATGTGTGTGTGTGTGTGTGTGTGTGTGTGTGTGTGTGAGAGGGAGTACGTGTCTCTCCGTCGCGACCACCGTGGCCCATCTATGTGGGTATGCCCGGCTTGTTTGTATTCCGTTGTATTCGGCCTGTCTATAGGGAAATTGCGGTGTTCTCGACCGTTGAAATCCATGAACACGTTTCTGCCGTCTCTGATCGTCCTCGTTTGCTACCGCGTCTCATTAACCCCCTTCGATCTGACCAGCGCGACGTCACGGCGCGACGATCCGAATTCGAAGGGGGGAGGGGTGGCTTCGAAAAGGGGAAACCGGACTTGCTCCCTTCTCTGACATGCTCGGCTTACCTGGCTCTCTCAGTTTCGTTATAATCGCAAGCGATAATACAACAGGTGATAATACAAATTGGCGCCGGCATTTGTCCATGCAGGATAGCATGTATGTAGCTTCGGAAACATTTGAACATTACCGTCAGCGCGTTAGATCTTCCCAGGGTGATTCTCTCCCCCCCCCCCCAAGTGATTTCCCGTTGGATTTCTTTCAATATTAGGATAAATATTTCCACAGGTTGGTTGGCTGAAGGTGGATACCAAGGCGATCCAGGCGATCCACGATCACGTAATAACTCACAATAACAGGGTCTCGGTGTCTCACAGCGATCACACCACGTGGAATCTCCACATAAAGAGCGTGCAGAAGGAGGACGAGGGACTGTACATGTGCCAGATTAACACAGATCCGATGAAGAGTCAGGTAAGTCGACGATTTCTTTCGATTTCTTTCGATTTCTTTCTCGAGATTATTCCAGCGTTACACGCGTTACGCGTATCGCATAATGCAATAATGGCTGTACGAAGTGATCTCTCGAAAGTAAAAATTTCAGCAGATTAATATGCACGCGTAAAGTGTAATGGATGCTGGATCTTTAGATCAGAGGAAGCTGAAGCAGAGATGGATGGAAAAGTTCAGCTTCAATCGCTTTGAACTTGAGCTTTGATGTCGATTTATCTTCCGAGAAGATACACGAGAAAGCTATCCAAAGGCTGAGTTTATTCCATAGATATTTATTTATTTAGGCGCAGGTGGCTGTCAAACGCTGGCTAGTTGGTTGCTACTTTGAGGATTTTCAGTAACTAAGCGGTCGAAACTAGAGCTCTCTGCGCGCAGTTTAACCGGCAGGGCGAATCGTGGTAAGCCGAGAAACTTGGAGAAATAACTAATTGGAAACCAGGTGTCACCTACGCCATTTCGATCGATAAAGTTGCAGGATGCGTGTCGTCGATGGGTTGCACACAGGGCGTACGTCGATTCCAATTGGAACGTATCGATGTCTCGCTATGCATTTCGCGATTTTTTTTTTTTTTTTTTTTTTTTTCTCTTTACACGATTTCTTTGCCGACCGATTCGATCCACGCTTTCAATTAAATTATCGATAGGCGGTACTACGAACGAGTGGAACACACAAACGGTTTCGCAGATTGATCAATCGACCCATCTGCAACAAAAAGTAAGATCGGTCGAGAGAAAAAGAGATACGCGAGAACCTGGTTTCATGGATTTAACGTGTCGGATTGTCAGGTGCATGTCCGTGAAAAGAACTGACTATCGTTATCGAATCGTCACCATTTTTCACAGTCGAGTTGATTCTTGAGTCATCGAGTTGAGCCAACGTATTGATTCGTAATGATCCTTTTGTTTTTCTTTCTTTTTCACGATTGGTAGCAACAAAGCTGGATTATTATAACCGAAAATATGGAAATATGGAAATTTGGCGGGTCGGCCGCGGGGAAAAGAGAAAGAGGGGGAGGGGGAGGGAGAGGGGGCGGGGG